CCAAGACGATTTATAGGAATGAGAAACTGAAATTCACCCCTACACTTCCGATGATTTCTCAATGATTCTTAGATACCGATAACTATTGATCTTTGTTGTCTCTGAAAAATATTTGTCCTTTGATTTTTAAGCATCGATGGTCATCGACAACGCAAAAGAATGTGAAAGGTCATAAAAAGAAAAGACGAATGTTAGTGAAAGATGACGACGTTCTGAACGAGCAAAGAGCAATTACACTCGATGACGGAGAGACAACTGATCGACCACACGTAATGAACAAAGACGTCGAGATCAAGAGTGATTCACCGCTCAAGTTTAACAGTCTGTATCTAAACTTGAATGCAGAAGAAACAGTTGATCAGAGGCAAGTGACAGTAGCAGCGGAGGAAGATGATAACACAACTGGCGACTGTATCAATCTAAATCGTCGAATAGTAGAAGCTATTATTGGAGAACAAAAGCTGACAACTACGAACATCAATGATATCAAAATGCACCTTGGTCCTGTTGTAGGGTACGCCGAAGAGCGTTTGTTGCCACTTTCGAAAGCATGTGTTCCGCTGACCAACATCATCCCCGATTTATCAGTCTACGTTCAAATGGCACTCGACGAAACTCCAGAAGAGCCACCTGACGGACTGACGATTGATGAGAGTGCTGCAATTCGGCTCTACACGATCGAATGGGAAGGAGCTCATCGAAGTCTCTATTCGATACTTAATTACACCCTGAAGACGGCGGATCGCGAGGATCTTCGACCCTATTTCAAGTATCTGAAACTGTTCCTGACTGCCCTGGCTAAACTACCATGCGTTCCCCCGCTGACCATCTGACGAGGGGTAACCAAAGATTTGAGCGCAGACTTCCCACCCGGCACCCTGGTGACATGGTGGGCATTTTCATCATGCACAACTGAACTAACCGTGCTCGAGAACAACATATATTTAGGGAATACGGGTGAGCGGACGCTCTTCTCCGTCGAAGCCATTAACGGTCGAACAGTACAAGCTCATTCGCATTTCGTTACCGAAGATGAAATTCTTCTTCTGCCCGGCACTCACATGGTGGTTCAATCGCAATTCACTCCGGCGCCTGATCTCCACATCATTCATTTGAAACAGATAGTACCGGAAGAAATGCTACTAGAGCCTCCATTCGAAGGTATTCTAAACACTCTTAATTGTTTGTTTAAACTGAAGTATTTCTATGCTTAGGGGCGCATCTTTATCCAAAAATCAGGTAAGTCTAACTTCATCTTCATCAGAGGTGCAACCGGTATGAATTATAATGCCGACCGGTATATCGGCATTAGTATAAAGTATAATCAGTCGGCTGATATTTTGCGGTATGATACGATTTTTTTTCGAAAAACATCGCGTAAATTCAGTTCATCTGTGACATGTTTCTCCCACTAAAATTTCATTCAAATTACTTAAACTTTGTCGACTTATATAAACTTCTCAATTTAAAAGATTGAATTGGATTGCTGTTTTCGTACAAGAAAAGCGTGTGAAAAATCACCTATACATAATCAAAGTGAAAAGAGTAATCAGTCTATCCCTTTGATAACATAAAATAAAGTTCGCAGTAAAGAAAAGCAAGGAAAAAGTATTTGTATTCAGGCAAAATATGATCAAGATAAGCCGAAACCGGCCGGGACCGGTACGAAGTTCGTATACCGTTGATCGGTACCGTTGTCCCATTTTTGATACCGGTTACACCCCTGGTCTTCATCTGTCTGTATTTTTGACGATGCTTTTCATCACATTTACAAGACGTCATTGGTATCAAAAGAAGAGATTCATCATTCCAATCAGCTTACTGGCGATTGTGCTCATCGTGGCAGTCATTGTCGGTTCTGTTTTGGGATCGAGATCTGCAGGTATGCTTTTTGGGTAAAGGGCTCAAAAACATTGCGCCTTCCAGTATTCTAACTATACTTACGCGCAAACATTAACACCGATAAAAATCCAACATTCAGTGAATTTCTCCACTCATGGATTTCAGTTGTAGCGTCTCAGGCAGCCAAACCTCTATTTGTCTAAGTAAAGTTAGCACATATTTTGCGATAAACGAAATTTGCCGATTTCTCGTCAACCCAAAACACATCTGGCGAGATTTCTGCATTTTCAACTTGTTGAATGACTCAGCAACAATCCATACATCTTTTGAAACATAGAAATCTCGTAAGGGGCTTGAAGGCGTCTCATTTTCTTCAAAAATGTTTGTTCTAAACGATCAATTTATTTACAAATATTTTCTGAATTGAACTGAGGGACTTGGTTTTGTTCTGATGTGTATTCAGACGATAGCTTCCCCAATCGATGCATTCAGTAAAAGTACTTTGAAAAATACTATGGCAAGTTTTGTCCCAAGTACTTGGTTTTTTTGCAAGTTATCCAGTACTTGTTCTTTTTTCTACATTACATACCTTTCTAGTTATCGATCAAACGCAATTCTTTCGAACTTTTCAGGATTTTTCGAGATCATAACACAAAGCAGCAGCAAAGAACCTAGAACGATATTGTAGAAGGCTATTACTTAAGTCGGGCGCAACTCTTACTTCCCTTTGACGAATGACGCCTCAGAAAAGCGACCAATTATCAACATCTATGATGTAAAATTTGTTCTGAGTAAAATATATAACGATGTATTGTTTTTACTAAGTACTTTATCCCGTGCTTATTCCCTATTAGTTTCTACTTACTTTTATTACTTCTTGATCTTCTTACCTACTAGGAAGCAACCAGTAATAAAATAAAAAATAACAACAAAAGCAGTAATTCTTATTATTATTGTTCTGTGTAGTAAGTTAATACCAAGAGTAAAGTGGCACCTCTAATGTCTAGAATGAGAGCAGGTGATGACTTTGAAGCGTCCTAATCTGTTAAAACATCAGTGAGACATATGAAGTCTCTTATCCGCCTATGAACATCGTTAAGTAACCTCTCATAACCTATTCTAACTGACGCAACCTATATGAGAACTTGATCCGTTGCGAATTCCCAAACCTCTTTACGGTGTATCAGGAATAATAAGCCTTTTCAACTTCATAACTGAAATAACAACCCTAGTGAAACTTTTTTTCTCAAGCACATGAGCAAGCACATACCTCAACATTTGTCTCCATGCACATGAATTTCTTACTCATGCAAAACGCATACCTTAAGAAAGTCATGCATTATGGATTTTTAGCTTCGTTTTTTAGACTTGATTACACCATATTTTACTCGGACTTTTCTTCGAGAATATGATGCAATCAGTCTTTTAGTCTTTCTCGACCATCTGGCACTCTCACTATGCCATAATCTTTATGTACAAAGGAAAATAAGTCGTTTTCAATGGAAAGTTCATGACAGTTCAAAGCGACTACACAGCAATTTTGACTTTCTACTATTCATTCACTCGACCCTCTAAAGTCTTCATGTTATCTTTTGTTATACTGCTGAATATAATTTTCCGATAATCTGTGATGTGTTTGTTTGAGAAAAATGTTCCTTTCAGATTAACTAAGTTCGCTCCGCGTTGTATTTGTCAGTTTTGGTTCGACGTGTGACTGGAATTTGACCTCAAAATAAAAGTGAGAAGGGTTGATGTCTTTTAAGGTACATTCTGTGAGTTTTATCGATAAGGTAACGTTTACCGTATGTGAAGAAAACATTCACGCTTGGACTTCCAGAGAAGCGTATCTGTAAATACTAGACGCTAATATCACTTCGTTGCTAGAGCGAATCTAGCATCCCGTGAATGAGGCAGTATAGCCTGGCATCCAATCCTCTGCGAATCAAACTGGTACTTGATACATCCAGGAAGCCGCCAATGGCAAAGCGATCTTACACCGAAGAAACTCACAATTGTGATGATAAACATCAACCATTTGGTGCATGTCTCACTTTTATGCATTTTTATTTGAAGATCTTGCACAGTCAATATTTTTAACTGAGCCTACACAACGGAGAAAGGACCTTAGATTCGGTACATTATCTGAGACGAAAGACCTTTCATAACTGTTAATGA